TGAAATGTGGTAAGAGCATCCACAATGGTGTGTTCAATGAGAGAATTGAATGAGGTGGCAAATCCATATATCATTCAATGGATGAAACTCAACCATTGTGAGATGTCACATTGGCATTCAATAGATTTGGAGTTCAATGGCCATTGAACTCTTCAATGGGAAAAAGGAAAGTTTTAATCCTTAAATATTTACTATAAATTATATTTTGTAAGATTGTATTAAACTTTGTAGAATTCAATGCATTGTAGAGAAAACAATAATAAAGTTGTATGAATTTTAGAATGATGATATGACAATCCATTAAACTTTATGAAGTTTAATGCATTGTGGATTCCCTAAGGAGCACGAGAGGCAACACCCAATCAGATTATTTCCTTCTCTTTTTCTTTTTTCCTCACTCTTCTTAACACCATGTTATAAAATTGGAAACATCACCCCCATTTCATGTTATAACATGTTAAAATGTAAGGTGACAATATTTGGTTTCAATAACCCCGTTGCCCACACTTAAGAAAGTTTTTTAGTTGTTTTCAAAATAATCCTGCCCTTATTTTATTGTCGTTTTTCTTTCATTATTAACCTTGCCGGTTAAAGAAATCAGTTAAACGGACAATTTCCTCGACCACATACATCTTTGTCGTTTACAACACAAACAAAAACACTTCCACACAAAACAACCTTTTGATGAAAAGAGTGGAAACATTGCATTTAATTAAAGGAACACAACAATTCTAGTTGTCATGATCCCATAGCGCATGGCACCAGCCTTTGGAACTTGGAAATCCGTTCGAACGACTATCCTTAATTAAGAGAGATTAGCATCTCCATGAATCTCCCTCTCCCTCAGCTGCCCCCACCTCCTAATCCTTAACTGATGTTGAGCCATAGCCGCCAAGAACCTCACCGTCTGAGCCGTCGTCAATATCCCCACCACCTTCGCCACTGTCTTCTCCCTCAAATAATCCGCACACCCAACCAAAAACTCCATATGCTCCGCCATTCTCTCTACTGCAGCATCCGCTTCATGAATCATGCCATTCACCTCCCTTCCTCCCATCCTCGCCATGGCCAGCATGGACGGCGCCAGTACCTGCTGCTCCAACCTCGCCAGCCTCTCTGCAATCGCACTCTCGTGGTCTTTAGTGTCCACCGTCAACCTCTCCATCCTCTCCGTCTGATCGGAGCTCAATTCCACCCCACATCTATTCACGACATGGAGGGCAAGACCCGGCTTGAACCCAGATAACCATAGGAAGGTTCGCTCATAGGAGCTCAGCCACGGTGGTGACAGAACAAGAAAAACATTCCGGCTAGAAACTCGGGCCTTGGCAAGGAAGTATTCATGGTGGTGAGACATGACTCGGCGAATGAGTTGTTTGTGTTTGGACTCGTCTTGTTGATCTGGGGACTGAAGAATGTGGAGAAGCTGATGAAGGTAAAGCTCCAGTTGGGTTACCCATTCCATGAAGAAGGTCTGGAAATTATCGGGTTGAGATCCGGTTGTATACTCCATATATGGAAAGGTTTGATTGATCTGCATTAATGACGGAGATGATATGGGGTTTAAATAGTATGCCCGATCAAGAATTGCTTAATCTGTAAGAATCTTGAATCAAATTTGGAGGGAAAGTAGCTGATGGAAATCTTGGATTTTTCTGATAATAAAAATCTTATGCTTCTGAGGATTGTTTCTGTGCTGAAGAAGAAGACACGCTGAGAGGGTACGGAAACTGTGGAGAAATCGACAGCTGATGATTATAATATTAGTCCCACCAGACCGCAGTTACCCAGTTTCAGTTGGTTTCTGGTTGTATTTCATCATTTTATTTATTTGTTTATTTTTTTTTTTCTTTATCGTTGTACTTGAATGATAAAATTATATCTGAATAATGGAATACAACAGTCAACTTACTGTTTCATTGCTCAAAAAGTCCACATGCATTTTAAAAACCAAGACTTATCCTTTCGTTCAAAACTTAGGATACGTTATTTTCCGAAACAGAACTTGGTGATGAAGTTTTATGAACAAACGTATTTGTCTAATTCTTCATAGAAATACTAAATACGCTGTCTTTTATAGGAACAAGGTCTTCATTTTATCTCAGGGTGCATTCATGGATCAGAAAAATAGCATCATTTTGAAACGCCAATATTAGACTACAAAAGTTTGTAAACGACGCTTACAACTTTTAAACCTGATTTTTTGATATTTATATGGTTTGAAAAATTGATTTACTAAAAACTCGTATTTATATGGTTTGAAAATTTTGATTTACTAAAAACACGCTACAAGAAAAATGTTAATAATTAGTGACGAAAACGATGGTCACTAGAAAAATATTGGTGGTCGCTTTTTGTCACTATCAGTCCATCACTAATTTTGATTAGTGACCGAAATATACAAGTGATCACTAGTAAATAGTACATAGTGCCAGTGGTCACTATATCTGACGACTCATTCTGTCGCCAAAAGTAGTCACTAAATATAAGTCGTTACTGTTTTACCAATTAGTGATCATAAAAGTTGCCACTTATCAAATTGGTGACACTATAAAAAGTCATCACTATAATTTGCCATCTAGTGACAATAAAAGGTCAATAACTGTTTTCTTCAATTAATGACCATAAAATTATACCGTATCATATATATATATATATATATATATATATATATATATATATATATATATATATATATATATATATATATATATATATATATATATATATGGAAAAATAAACATGTGGTTGTCATATACCTAAATTTAGGTATAAAACCTTTTAAATGACATAGTTTAAAAAAAACAAATACAATTTTATTTTTTCTTAGTTTTGTTTTAATAAAATACTATTAAATTGAGTTAAATTATAAAATAAAACAAATTAATTATATATCTTTTTCTTGCAAAATATCATTGAAGTTTATACAAAAGTATAAAATCGATACTTTTTAACGAATATAACTCAACCTTTTTGTCCTTCAATTGAATAACTATATCGAATGATTTATTAAAAGTTTGATTAAGTCATTGTATGTTTTTCTATCTTTTATTCTATTAATTTCATTTAAAATTTTGCAAGGCTAATTAGATTGTCATTACTTTTAATATTTTAAGTTCTTAGCCACAATAAAGAAAAAAACATAAATTCGATCGGTTTAGTAAGTCACATAATTAAGAAAAAATAGTAATCTACCTAGTTTGGAGGGTTATATATATATATATATATATATATATATATATATATATATATATATATATATATATATATTAAACTAGAAACTAGAATCCAGTCACATTGTTAAGTTATACCCTTTTATGCAAGTTTCCCAATAATATGTCCCCCCGCCGCGGCTCAAGAAGCTTTAATTCTTGGCAGTGATTGTGTTATATTTTTAGCCATAAAACCCTTAAACTACAAAGACATATGTCAGTAATAAGCGGCAATGATTGCACATTTTTCTTAAGTTTGCATAACCAATTTTAAGCGGTTCATGGGATACTATTTTGCCCTCATGAGGAGGCAGGTTATGAATCGTTTTCTGTGACTCTGAAACCAATAATAACGAGCATATAGCAATGGCAACGTATATAAATATATGAAAAAGAAAGGAAAAGCTACAATCATACAATTAGAAAAACTCCCAAGACTCAAAAGGGCACTAGCATTAAAGTCTTGATGAATGACACCTTAGGCAAAGAGGTGTTGTTTCTTTATAACTTAATGGACTTAATGATGAGGACAAGATTTAATTTAGTACGCTATATATGGAACTTTTTTTTACTTAATGCATATAGAACGAAAGTGAATAGTGAAATTCATGAGACTTTCCTCGTTAAGTTCTAAATTTATGGAGTGACCAACCTGAGGCACATTCTAAATCATCTTCACAATTGAGTTGATGTGCAACCTTCTAGAACTAGCAACCAAAATTCATAAACTCTTAGCTACATAGTCACAGTTACAGTTACAATTACAATTAAGCAATTTATTAAGCAAAACAGAAAACAGAAGTAAAACAAATGAACTCCAATAAAGAAACAGTGGAATCTAAAGTCCTTTAATAAATGCAAGAACTGCAAAACAAGTTTAGATGATTGGTAAAAGTGGTTAAATGTAGATTCCAGAAAAGCAAGCACTCACCTTCAAAGATCAAATCAAGTGTTCTCCAAAATTTATAATCACGATTGAACATGGATGAAGGATGCAGACTTTACTAAAATTAGCTACCAAACTGCTAAAATTCATATAAGTTATCAACTCCAGGGTGTCAATTCCATCGGCTTCTATCGTTCTCGCTCCCAAAGTACACACAAACACACGGTTTGATTAATTCATCATAAACCCCTAACTTACAAAAGCTTGAATTGATCAATACAATAACTAGGTTTTGTGATTATCCCGTGAATTAATCAAATCAGTAGGTTTAGGAGGGTGACTAGGGCTGGACACCATCAATTTCGGCCCCCAATCCCCTAACTGTGCAGTCCTGTCGTGGATGGCCCTCCGACGCCGCTCCGGACCACCGTCGCCGCGCCACCTCAAATCAGATTGCCTTCAGCCTTCACTTCTTCTCGATATCTCTCTGTTTCTCTCTCAGCAGTCCCAACCTCCCTCTGCATCGCGTTTGCGATTGTCGATTGAATACACAAACAATCACGAAAAATCCCCTCGTTTTACGAGTACAGGACTACAGGGTGTGTTTTTACTTCATCCCGAGTGAATACACCCAGCGGCCAGCCGAGTGTTACGTGTTTATTTTTGTTTTTTTTTTTTTTTTTTGGGGAAAATGATTAAAAGGATAAAAATGTTTCAAAAACGTACAAAAAATACCATTATTTTTTTTTAGTGAAAAAAATACCATTAAACCGGGTATTATAGGTTAGCCGGTTAAAAGATTTATTAGAATAATTTTGCCCTTACCCTTCGTTATTTCCCCCAAAATCAAGGGTTCCTTTTTTCCTTCTATTTCGTTCGTTCATCCTTTCTATAGAATCACAATGGATTCCAAGTTCACAATCGAAGTAAATCATACAGGTTCTTTTGTCCCCAAACCGATTGTGTATTTCAATCCAGTAAAAATGGTTGTTAGCAATGTCGATTTCAGAAGCATGAGTTTCATGGAGTTCATCTCGTATGTGAAGAACTTGGTCAAGGATGGAACAATCAATGTGTACTATTGTCTTCCACAACGTTCACTGAGAGATGGGTTAAGAGTCTTGGAAGATGAAAATGATTATGTTCGTTTCCTTGATGTTGGGTATGAGAATGGGGGTATGATCAATTTGTACATTGATCACAGTCAATATCCAGTTATGGAGTGGATTGAAGAAGAGATAGCTGAAGATGGATCAGTAGATGGTAATACGGATGATGATGATGATGTAGACTCTGAGCTTTCAGATGATGAGTTCGTGGAGCATGAGGCTGATGATGAAGTGATACAACTACAGCCATTTGATGATCCTTTCATTAGAAGAAAATTTTTCAAGTCTCCAAGAATTGTGGATGATGAGAAAGATGATAAGAAAGATGTCAAGAAAAATCTTCATAAGTATCCAGTTCATGATCCTAACCAAAAATGGGATACAATGTCTCCAATCTTAGGTATGAAATTATGTGATCGTTATGAACTTAAGCATTTGTTAAGTAATTATGCTGTTGCTAATGGGTATAAACTGTGGTATGAAAAAAATGATTCAACAAGATTATTAGTTAGATGTTGCAAAGGTGAAGAGAAGTCTAAATGCCCTTTTAGGTTGTGGGCAACTTGGATGAGTAAAGAAAGATCATTTCAGATTAAGTCCTTAATCTCTGAACATAATTGTAGTAGGGCCTTAAATTTAGGTTTAATGGTCACATATAGTTGGATTGGAAAACAGTTAATAGAAACCATAATAGATAATCCAAGAATTAGTTACAGGAAAATGGCAGCAGCAGTCCTTAGAGATTTTAATCTAAAAGTTAGTTTTGGATAGTGTAGAAATGCCAAAAAAAATTGCAATGGATGAGATAGAAGGGAGCTTGGTGGCACACTATGAAAAGCTTAGAAGTTATGGTTTGGAGTTATTGAGGACTAATCCAGGTTCCACAGTGAAATTGGATGTGGATATCATGCCTGATTCTACAGTCCATTTTTCTAAGATGTATATTTGCTTGAAGGTTGTGAAGGATGGTTGGATTGAGGGGTGTAGAAGAGTGATTGGTGTAGATGGATGTTTTTTAAAGGGACTTTGTAGAGGTGAGGTAGTTTCAGCTGTTGGTAAGGATGCTAATAACCAAATGTATCCTCTAGCCTGGGCTGTTGTACCAGTTGAAAATAAGGTAAATTGGAAATGGTTTTTGGATCTATTACTTGAAGACATTGATATGGGACAAGGTAGAGGACTAACCATCATATCTGACCAACACAAGGTACTCAACTGTTTTTTCATAATAGTATTTCTATTTTATTTTTAACGTATAATGACATCAAAATGTTACTTAATAGGGACTGATTGAAGCAGTTAAGGAAAGAGTGCCAGAATGTGAGCATAGACAATGTGCCAGGCATGTTTATGCCAACTTCAAGAAAAAATTCTCAGGAGCTGAATACAGGAAACTTTTCTGGTTTGCTGCCAAGGCCACAACAACCACAAAATTTGAAGACATCATGAAGGAGATCAAACTGATTGACAATACTGCCTATGAACACCTGATGGAAAAAAAACCCAAACACATGGTCCAAGGCATTTTTTAGGGAAGATAGTGGTAGTGATGCCATTGAAAATGGTGTATCAGAGTCATTTTAATGCAGCTATTGTGGAAGCTAGAAAAAAACCAATAATAGCAATGTTGGAAGACATTAGAGTGTATGTCATGGAAAGGATGTTTACTCAGAAAAGGAAGGGACTGAAGTGGAACTTGGACATTTGTCCCTCAATAAGAAGGAAGATTGAGGACATGAAGAAAATAAAGAGGTATTTATACATTATATATATATATATATATATATATATATATATATATATATATATATATATATATATATAGACATATATGTTACATTTCATAACAGGTGTATGCAGTTGACTTACATAACTTATATGTTACATTTCATAACAGGTTTTGGGGAGTAATTCCAAGTGGTTTTCATCAATATGAGAGTAGATGGTTGAATGAGGTGTATGCAGTTGACTTACATAAAAGAACATGTGGATGTAGATCATGGCAGCTGACAGGTATACCATGTGTACATGCTATTTCTGCAATCTTGTGCTTGAATGGGAATATAGAGGAGTATGTAGCAAATTGGTACACAACACAAATGTTTGGAAGCTGCTACAAGTATAATGTTAAGCCAATTAATGGACATGAAATGTGGCCAGCAAATGATATGAATACCATCTTACCACCAAAGCGTAGAAGATTGTCTGGCAGACCAAAGACAAACAGGAAGAAATGCATTTCAGAAAGAAGTGACAGACACACTGTCAACAAAGTTGGGACCACTTCTAAATGCAGTTTATGTTCCCAACCAGGTCATAACAAGAGGAAATGTCCTCTGAAACAGCTTAATGCAGTAGATGATTCAGATCTCTTTGATTACCATGAGCTATTTGAGGGTGAGGGGCAGGGTCAAGGGCAAGGACAGGGAGAAGGACAGGGACAAGGCCATGGGGAAGCTGAGGATGTTGGAATTGATTTAGAGGATGAGGTTGGAGGTGATTCAGGGAAAGAAGTTGAAGGAGATTCAAAGGATGATTTAGAGATGCAGGTTGAACAACTAGTTGATGAAGAAGTGGTGAATCATCATGTGGTTGCTCCAACTTTGAAAAGGAGAAAGTGTGGTCCTTCTCAGAGGAACATAAAACTTCGGTTGAGGAGGAAGGTGGTGACCAAGGATGATACAGGGGGAAGTCTTGAAAATCCTGTAACACTCTAGGAGCAGTAATGGGGATAACTTTTGTTAGCTTTTTTTAGGGAATCTTTTGGTAAGTGCAGGACAACTTTTGGTAGGGAATCTTTTGTTAGGCACAAATTTTGATGTCTTGTTTACATTTAAGTTAAAAACTGCTGAAGCTACATGTGATTAGGTGTAATGTGTATTTTGATAATGTATGTGGTTTGGTAATGTGTATATTTAATGTATGTGGTAATGTGTATATTTAATGTATGTGGTCCCACTTAGATAATGCATGTGGTTTGGTAATGTGTGTGTTTATATTTATGGACAAGGACAGAGACAAGGCCAATCCAATATGTGGTCCAACTTTATCCCATTATATAAACCAGGAATCATTAATTCCATTTCAATATATAAACCAAGAATAGTTAATTCCATTCCAATATGTGGCCATTCCAATATATAAACCAAGAATCATTAATTCCTAGACAAGGCCATTCCAATGTGTGGTTTGGTAATCAATATTTCCATTCCATTCCAGGAATCAATGATTCCATTCTTGGAATCACAATGACAATTAACCAAAAATCATTAATTTCATTTCTATATACACAAAGATAATTAATCAGGAACCATTAATTCCATTCATGTGTGAAGAATCAATATAAAGCAATAATCAATATTTCCATTCCATTCCAGGAATCAATGATTCCATTCTTGGAATCACAATGACAATTAACCGAAAATCGTTAATTTCATTTCTATATACACAAAGATAATTAATCAGGAACCATTAATTCCAATCCTGTGTGAAGAATCAATATTAAGCAATAACCAATAAATCCATTCCATTTCAGGAATCACTAATTCCATTCCAGTATTAAGCAGTAACCAATAAATCAATTCCAACACAAGACTTTTAGTTAACCAAACTTTCTAAATACATTACCAAAGTCATTACATTACAATTTCCATTTCATTTCAACATAACATACATACAAAACATAACAAAGAACAACAACATACAACATTTGAGATTCCAATATTTCCTAGTTAATTTATCCAAGTCTTTTCTGAAACTCATTGATTCTTTATCTGCCTTCACCTTATGTGTCCAAAAATTATTTTCCAATACTGATATCTTGACTTCAGTGTTGTCTTCTTTTATTAGTTCGTCATTTTGATCGACCCATTCCCAGAAATCACATTTCTTCTTCTTCTTATCCTTCAATATACATAATAAAATTCACATAACAAATTAAGTATGAAGAATAAGTAGATGATAGATGCTAGAACCACTTACTAGTGAGTTACGACATACTCTGAACTTTCTACCCGGATTATTAGTCGTAGTTGAGGTCCAAACTTGGGAAGGCTTCTCACAGTGACAAGGGTGGGCATAATCAATTGTGCTCCTGCTCTTGGAAATGTTCGAATTTGACTTAGAATAATTCGATGAACTTGAAGATGCCATAGGAGCCAAAGGAGATGAAGAAGGGGGATGAAGATGGAACCCTAATTTGATGGATGAAGGTCATTAAAGCACGTTCAGTAGTTCACCTGAGGTAACCAGTTACCTCAGGTCATCTAAAAGGTTATTTGTACTTTGTTGGTATTTTTTGTACAAAAATTACGGTTTAATGGTATTTTTTTCACCAAAAAAAAAATAATGGTGTTTTTTGTACGTTTTTGAAACATTATTACCCTTTTAAGTCATTTTCCCTTTTTTTTTACTTTTAAATTTAATACAATTAGCCACAAATAACCGGTCCACCGCTCTCAATCCATTCATGAGAGAACATAAATGAAAAAAGGAATCATAACCAAATTAACAAATATAACATAACCATTCACTACTAGAAAAAAGGCCTTTTACGACGCTCATTGCGCGTCGTTAAACGCTCAGACGACGCACAAATGCGCGTCAAGGAAGGCCCTGTCATAACGAGAGACGACTCGCTTTTGCGTGTCGTCTATAGACGACGCGCATTTATAACACGCAATGCGTATCATTAAAGCCGTTGTCAAGAAAGGTCATGTCATAAATGAAGATGACACACATTTTTGCGTATCGTAATTTTTATTTTTTATTTTTTTAAAATTATTTATAGATTTACTAATTTTTAAATTAAATTTGCATTTCATGTCTCATAATAGAAAATAAAATACCATATACAAAAAATACAATCCATTACACAATCAATTTCATTCAATAACATCATATCATAAAATTGTAATACATTGATATTAAGGAGATCTAATTATACGTTGTTATTAAGAGGTTTTCCCTAACTATATAACCTAATACTACATTGCTATAAAGGGGCACCTTCTTGTTTCAGTAACTCATCATTAAGCTGCCTGAAGAAGCTCTGAAACATTTCCTAAAACAAAGAATGATTGCTTTATAGTTTAGCCTAACATCATAAAATCATAATTGTTGTGCTGAGAACTGCATCAGGGATAGCCTGGAAACAACACAAAAATCAATATATCTTTTCAAGTATAGATGAAGAAATTTCATAAGCAAGTGATATGAGATGATACCAGAAGGGATTTGATAATTCCATTGATCATTTCAGTGTCAATTTGTGGTTCATCTTCTCCGGTATTCTCATTTTCTGTCAAAAAAATGTCAAACAGATAAACATCAAACTGGATACATTTTCAAAAGTTGAATATTGATCATAAATATTCATCATATTTTCTACACTACATGTTGTGTAATCTAATCAATATCGTATTAATATATTTTTAAACTTACCCGACTTGCTAAAATCCAGTATGTGTCTTCTAGTTTCTTCAGTTTTAGCACATCCACATTTTAGGGTTTTTATGTGGAGATAAACACCAGAAGGAAAGCAGGGGTAGAGATTGATGATCATGTCTTAAAAACATTTCCTACCCAAAGGGAAAGCATCTAAAGCCCTATAACTACTTAACATCTCCCATAATCACCCTGCTCTCCTGATTCAATGCAAGTACACTTCATGGTCAGGTTGAGATTGATGATCATGTATTATAGGAAGATCATAATTAACCACCAAATTAACCTGATAAAAAAAGGGGGAAATATAATTATATGACACAAAAGATAAAAGATAAAAGCAGGGGTAGAATTGTAAACATGTGCTTGATCATACCCACGATCAAGTTCATTAACTGATAAGATCCTAAGATATATAATGAGATTGTCATTTGATGATTTTCACCAAACAGAAAAGAAAAATAAACACTTACATTCTTCATTAAAGCGGTGAATGCATTCTTTGGTAGGCCAAAACCAATTGCTGTCATTTCAGCAACAACATGAGGAAATTGAATTTTGAATTATATCCTGTAACATTCAATAAATTATGATGCAAAGTTGATAATGTATTATATATAATATAAATGATGAAGTTTTATATAAAAAATGATAATAAACAGTAAGATAAATAAAAGCCAACTTAGCATGGAAATAGAAGCAACTTGAGAAGTTCTGATATCAAATACTCAGTCCCTTCATCATCAATTACCAACACCACAATTTCTGCAGCCTTCTTTGCAAGATTTTGGACCTCCTATATTACAAATAAAAGCCAACTTAGCATGGAACTAGAAGCAACTTTATCAAGATCACTCTGGGAATGTGAATGTCACAACTTATAAGAATATAGTCAAACCTGCTGGAGTGTTGTCTGCCATGCAGACTGAACTTGCGGATGCGTATCAGTTAGCACCTAAAATCAATAAAAAAATTAAAATTATAAATTTGATTATATTAACTAATAAAGATGTAAGCTAACATTGTATTTTTGTCCAAAGTACCTCAGTCAACTTTGGGACAATTTTTTGGCTACGTGAAAGGAAAGTAGTGTTAATAAGCATATTGTAATATAATTTAAAAGAATATGGGAGAAATTAAATATCACAAAATAAATTGAAAATGTGTTTAGAATGTTTACCTGACCAAGCAATTGCAGAACCAACTGTGAGCTGTCTAAGGGTTTTATAAAACGAATCATATCGGTCTACTATTACAGTCCAACAAGGAAAAAGAAGTCCTTACTCTAAACACCCACTTTTTCTACATACCAACTCCAACTTGAACTTGACAGTGAAAATTCACTCTCAACAAATGTAGAAGCATCACCAACACTTTTCTGAGCCACAACCTTTTATCCACATTCAATATAACCAATAGATATAAAAAAAAATTAGATCATGTTTCAGCTCCTGTGAAGTTAACTACACAAGAAAACATAGATATAATTTTACCTTTGATGTGTTGAAAATTACGTTCTTACAATCTGGAAGAATGCTCACAGACCATAACTATTGCTGCAAGAGTAAAATCTGATCCTATTTCCTAAATTATAGAAAGGAAAACTACAAAGCACCCATTTAGAAGTGGTGAATTGCTCATAGTCACAGTTTTTAACAGATCAACTATTTTGACCATAATGAGGAGCCAGTGATAATTTTAAATAATTAGTGGCCTATATCATTTCAACAGAGGTTCTTGCTGAACTATTTTGACCACAACTATTGCTGGTCCCAAGGTTCTTGCTGGATTCATTGATGCTCCTATCAGTGGCCTATATCATTTCAACAAAGGGAAAATGTGAACAAAGAGGGTACCCTTTTCTTTTAAACTTCTATCAACATACTCAATTATCATAATATTAAGAAGGTTCACTTTATACATACACAGCTATAAGAATATTAAGCATGACAGTTGCTCCCACAGCTATTCCCGCCAGCTCGCCAACCTGTGGTGAAATAAAAATCAGGGCTTAGGCTGTGCTGATTTTACATTTGAAGATTTTTTTGCAGTAAGTGATTCTTTCATATTAATTCCTTCTTCTCTGATGATTAATAAATAAATATCTTTAATAAAAATGATCTCTATCTAGACCATTATACCCTTGAATTGTATTCACAAGATTTTACATTATTTTTTTGTTATTGATAAGTATCATAAGATATTAGATTAATAATTAAAACATATTTGACCATCTGTGCCCCTATGTACACCGGCACCTACCACCAGTTTAATTTAACCATAGTTAGTTTTAGAGGATTAATTAATTGATTAATTAATTAATTAGAGGTGTTATTAATTACATGCTTGGATCTTCACTACAAACCGAAAGGGCATTATGGTCACATAAAACTCAGCAATCCACTACTGATGGTGGGCTGAATTCATAATCCGAGTATGGATAAACTCATTTCCCAAAGCGGGTATTCCTTATCTTCACTACAAAGCAATGTTTTTTGTTCTATCAATAGAGAATTATATGTCCATTAATTTAATCATATAGACTGGATAAACTAATTACCCAAAGATGGTATTCCTTATCTACAGATGACAAACAAATCATCCAAAGATGGTATTTTTCCAGATTAATTATTCAATTTTTCGATAAATTCACAATCCGAGTATGGAACATAGCACATTCCAGCATAGTTGTTGCATAATTGAAGGAAAATCAGGATGAATACCAATCTGAACAAACAACCATATGAAATCTAACCTGTTTACTCATCAAAATTGAATTAGTTATGAAACCGACCACATACCTTGGGCCACTACTTGCTTTAACAATCACTGTGATAAAAGAAACATAAAGCCTCAAAAAGTAACAGCATGATAGATGTAATTTAGCATAATACAAAAAATTCATACCCTGGATAAGACAAACATACAAAAAATTCATCGTACCATAACATATTCTCGAATTTATGCTCAAAATATTAAATGTGAGTATGTGTGTGAGGTGCTATGTGCGACTGCTAACAGTGTATCAGAATGGGATCGAGAATCAGAAAAGTAGGGGGAAGGATATCGCACCCAAGAAATCAAACAAGAAAAATTAAAATAAGGGAGAAGGAACAAAGCATACCTGAGATGCTTAGAGAGTAGAAGTGAGGATTGTGGAATGAGGAGGAAATCGCCATTGAAACCTACATAGTTTTTCAGTTAGGGTTTAACACAAGAGAAGATGAGAAGATCCAAATTCGAAATCAAAGCTATGAATAGAGGAGAAATTAAAGAAATAGAAGAACGAAAACATTAGGAAGAATGAATAACCAAACCATATCTTAGTCAGGCTAGGGTGTGGAAATTTGAGCAGTCTCCAACGAGGTCACATGAGCCCGAGGTCGCCGGAGGAAAATACCCCTAAGGTCGTTGGAGGAGAAGTGAGCAAAGATGTTGTCGGCGAGGTGAGGCGAGATGTCGATCGATTGTTGCATAGGCTAGAGAGCACCAAGTGTTTCCGTTCTTGAAAAAAAAGCCCTAGTCCCTGCGATTTTGTGGAATTTAATAGTACTATCTTTGCTTGTCTTCTTCTTTGCTTCTTAAATAGTAATAACAATCTCTATGAAATCACAAGTTGGGTTTTAGGTTAGAGGGATAGAGAGAGGAAGACGAAGACGCTAGGCTTCTTTCTTGCTAATTGGAAGAGGAGCGGGTTTTAATTTTTCACATGGAATAGGCGGGGTTTTAATTTTTTGGGATTTCATTTCCCCCTTTCAAGAACGCGCGTTTTGAGTAAAACATAAAGCGACATTCACAAAGGACGCACAATTTTAGATAAAGTGCCCTCCGTGTTTTTATTTTTTTTACTTGAGACACTAATCTAAGGGCACGCAATAATCCGTGACATAAATCCTTAATTTTTTTTTAAGATACGACACTTTTTTAATGTCACTCTCTTTTGCGTAATATAAATCAATGAGTGTCGTGGTTTGCGCGTCGTAAAAGGGTCTTTTTCTTGTAGTGATTAATTAGGGATAAGCAAAAATGGAATCACAAACCGCAAAAACCAAAACCGAAATAAACACCAACAATGCGGTTTTTAGTTTTGCAAAAACCGAAAATGTTCGGTGCGGTACAGTTTCTAGTCTTATAAAAAACAAAACTGCACCGTGTGTGTGTGTGTGTATATATATATATATATATATATATATATATATATATATATATATATATATATATATATATAAAACGTTGATATTTGTAAGGACGAAGAACTTGTGACAATTGAAATTTCTATAAATATAAATATTTATCGTATCAGATTATGATTGTATATTTTTTAAGTATATTTTTAGTGATATTTATGAGAACAAATAATGTTTATGATATTTTTTAACATTTAAATATGAAGAGTACTATCGATAATAATATCATTTTTATGAAAACATTAATTGATATTATCTCATTTAATGTGAAATAAATATTATATTTAATTCGTATTATATTCAAGCATTAGAAAGATGTTGGATGAATGGTTATGTCATTTGATTTCAAACTAAGAGGTGATGGTATCATAATTACTAAACTACAAAAAACCAAAAACCAAAAGGCAAAACAAAATAATAATAATAATAATAATAATAATAATAATAATAATAATAATAATAATAAAATTGACAAAAAATCGAAAAAAAAAAAACGAACCGTAAAAAACCGCAATAAAAGATGCAAAAACCGAATCGCATAAAAACTAAAAGGTGCAGTTTCTAAACTTCCAAAAACCGAAGTTGCGGTTTTCGGTTCAGTTTTGGGCAAAAATCGTACCGAACCGCAGTGTAACAGCCCAAATTTTACACAAAAAAATTCATTTAATTAAAATAACACATTAACGTAAAATCGTGAACCCCACATATAGTTTAAAACATCATTCATTACATTATATAATCTATCAGAGTGTGTCCCCAAACATATTAGTGAAAAAAGAGATAGATAGAGTGCACGCCGCGCCATCACGCCTTGCTCTTGCCTTTCGACTCCGATGTACCTGAAACAATTCAACAACGTGTAAGCGTAATGCTTAGTGAGTTCCCCAGAGCATACCACACATACACATATACTAGTAGCAAATCAAGCTACAAATATATCACATAGGTCATGCGTACATAGAACCAGCAATAATGTCATGGGTTACCCCACATGGTCTTACATCCAATGTCATGGGCTACCCTACATGGTCTTTACCTAGGACTGCTATGGGCTACCCCACATGGTCTTACATCCAATGCCACAAGCTCCCCCCGGTATCTTCATGCAAAACATACGATCACATTACATATCAAAACACAAAGTGATTGCACATATACCATAAACACATAATGGGCCGGCCTTGGTGCCGTAGACGCATGGGTATGGTGAGAAGACTCACCTCTGTCCGAAGAATACGAATATTACACTCTTGATGACCCGCAACCTCCCGAACTGAATAATAACAATAATAATATCATCAACGATTGGTCCAAAAATCATCCCAAAGGAGGGCCCAACCTTTAAACCCTACCCCAATGGCCTAATCACCCTTTCATTGCAAATGGGCCCAAGATCTAAGTCCAATATCCTTAATCGATCCCCTTAGCCCAAAAAGGCCCAACCAATAAGTCCATGGTCCAAACCGATAAAAATGCCTCTAACTCACAGAATCCAATCAGGCCCAACAACCCAAAAGAGGCACAAAAGTTCGACAGCCCAAAACGAGAACGACCCAAACTGCCCAGCGTACCCTTCAAGTACGCACAGCGTACCGGGTTTTCAAGGGTTACGCGTAGCGTACTCAGAGTACGCCCGGCGTAAGTCTCAGTTATGAACTTTCCCTTTTAAGTACTTATTATTCCATTCTTTAACGTCCAGAATCTAGATGTGAGTTCATTAACACCTCCTAAGGCATAAAGTTGCTAACTTTATGCCTTTGCATGTCCATTAAACTTCCAAATTCATCATTAAGACCTTTCCAAAGTCTTTAACTCATGCACAAGGTCAAGACCTCCACCAAGCTCCTATTTTTATGCCTCTAAATGGCTTAAGGACCTTAGATCTGACCTTATTATCGAATGGGGACTATCTAGCCAACAAATAAGGCCCAAAATCCATCAAAAGGACCAACTACAAAAACCCTAGCTAGATCTAAAGAGCAAAGAGGAAAGATGGAAGCTTTTTACCTCTAAGAGCTCTATAAGATGATTATGATGCAAGATCATGAAGCACCCTCTTGATCCAAGCTTGCTTGACCAACTCTTCTCCTTGAAATGAATACTAAAGATCACAAAGGCACACTTTTAAAGCTCAAAAATGATTTCTCAAGGCTTTCAGCAATGAAATGACGTTCAAGGGTAGTGAAGGCTCTCTAGGGTTTAGTCTCAAGGGCTTAAAGTCGTTTATATAGGCCTCAAGTCCAAAATTAGGGTTTTTTAATCCCTGGCGCATACGCCCCGCGCAATCCATGGTACGCCCAGCGTACCTCCAAACATCCACGACCAATAAAGCTCCTAGTACGCTAAGCGTACACCTAAGTACGCCTAGCGTACTAAGGGACTAAAAATGCCAAAAACTCTAATTTAAAGGAGGTTCAAATCATACCATTTATTTCTAGATGTTACGCGCACCATGCTCACCCCTACCATTAATTACTAAAAGATATGATACGGTTGCTAATTTTGATTAACCGAATACATATGCTCAGTTATCATTTTCATCTAAACATAACCACTATAAACCGAACTGAACCAATAATATTAATATAATTTAATATAATATTAAATGTATGGTATGTAATTATATTAAGAATTGAAATTTTAGTAATTAATCGGAATTAGATAGCATATGTAATCTTCTATCAATACAATTATATATACATAATCATTCACTTTTCATAACAACTAGAGAAGAGTCTCACGTTGCGGGTGTTGGAGTTACGGTGTATGCCACACCCCCAGACCAGAACGGCGGAAACGGCTGGAGGCAGGTGACATCATTGTGCAGTCTTATAACAATTGTATATAATTGAAACATAGCGAGCCATACATCATACATCAATAATACAAGCTTACATTGTTTTATATCATGTTTATGTTTTCAAGTTTACACAAAAGATACATCAGTAAACAAATTTCGAAAACACAACAAATTAATCTTAAGTCCGCGATCCATAACCTGCTTATTGATTTTCTGAGAATACAAGTCGTTTGAAAAGCATCAACATAAAATATGTTGGTGAGTTCATAAGCATTTTCGTATAAAAACTTCAGTGATAGTTTAAAAAAACAGAAAATTCAATATTTTCTTATCAAAATAGTTGTGAGTCTTGTTTCAATTCGAATAGAGTTGCATGTGTACCTTAATTCATTGTTTTCGAAATCGTAATAAATCGTTTTTCCCAGAAAATCATATATTTTCTGAAGTATAAAAATAGTATCTTTCATAAAATCATAACACTTGTGTGGAAAAGGTTTCGTTGAGGTATTCAAAACATAGTTGATTTTAAGCTGAAAGTGAATTCTGTAACAACACATTTCTGATATATTCTAGTGGGTGGTTATAACCATATTGATGTGACTGAGTGTCTGTTATGACGTTCTTCAGGCATCGGTTTTTGTTCAAGATATTTGTCACCCTAGACTGACCGGTCTAGCTGTAGCGAACAACGAAGGTGCGGGGTATCAACCCCGTATAGATCTATACACAAATTCCTGCTCTCCCTTTAGGAGACGCTAGGTATAACTCTTACAGTGCTTAAAGCGTACAATATTGTACTAATATATGTATTGTGAAGGTTCGTCTGACTAGAATACTAACCGATCTTTGAGTAAATCGTGAAAATCATTATTTACTGAATAAATAATAATAATTGTAGTCGTAACTAGATATTTTGTTTCGTTCGTTTAGTTTGTTAGAATCAATCCACTTTGAAATATTTATCATAATGACCCGATATTATCAAATCCTGCAAACAGCCCCTTTTTCTTTATAAAAGACTATGTGTGACTCAATTTATCAGAAAATGCCAAGTTGTGATTAATTTGTATATGTATCTTTGACTAGTGTGAGTTTATGACAGCAACTTTATGACATGCAAATTTTTCTAATCATAAAGGCTCCATTTGTGTATTTCCTTGGTGAAAATTATTTATCAATGTTCATAAATAAT